CTTCTGCCTTCTGCACCTTCATTCAAGAAGGTGTGTCTGGTGTCTGGGAAATATCATCACTGGTAGTCCAAGGCTCACCACTTCCAGGCTCATGATCCAAAAGAAACACTCTCTTCTTGGGTGTCTATATATCACACATCAAAGAAGATTCTAACTGACCCTATTTGGAGCACATGCCTGCCCTGTACCAGCATTATACCAGGAGGACTTGGGCACTCTGTTACTGAGCCAAACTTGGGTCCACTCACCCACAAGGTAAAACCAATCTACTGACATTGGTCGTGGTGAGGAAAGTGCAGCATTAATTGCAGAACACCAAGCAGGGAGAATGGGTGGCTAATGCTCAAAAGATCCAACTCCGCAAAGGATTTCGGGGAAGGGATTTTAAAGGCAAGATGAAGGAGAGGGTTGCAGGATGCCTGATCAGCTCATGGATATTGTTCTGATTGGTTGGTGGAGAGGTAACTGGGTGGTATTTGGCGAGTTAACATCGTCAACCTTTTGGTTTTGACTGGTCTGAGTTCTATGTGTATGTGGTCATCACTTTTTTCACCTGATGGGGATTTTAGTATCTATAAAACAACTCAAGGACATGGCTCAGAATATTATGTATCATCCCTGATGAGAAACAAAAGGTCCTTGACTTTGTATTATGGCTAAACTATTTATTGTGTCTTACTTGGCTGTTCTTGTTTCTGCATTTTCTCATCTTAAATTTGTTTTCTGAAACTCAGGGAAGCCTTAGGAGGCTAAAACTTTTTTCATATAAACAAAAAGCAGAGGACATGGCACTGAATAGGGGTTAGTCCTGTCCCCAGAAAGGCCCCCACAGGGCCTTACTCAGTTTATTAATGGCCAGCCTGGGCCACATACCCATGTGTATGTGGTGTGACCAGAGTGAATGACATGTCTCTGAGAAGATGGAGACCAAACCGGTGGATCCTCAGAGAAGGGGCGCCTGCCATTTTACTAGTAACACACATAAATACTGCAACATAATTTTACCATGAATATCTCTGCATGCCCCTGTTTCCTTATTTCAGTGTCCTGTGCTTTATCTTCCCTCAAAGAATGGCCCTCAAGGCTTTCAGACCCTACTGAGGTGACAGATCAATAGACCGGCACATTGACTTATTAAGCCTTTTGAATCTCAGAAAAGGAAAGCTTGTTAGCCACACACTCAGCCTTCCATTGGATTATCTGGCTTTTTGAAAAGCACCAGGAAAAACATTTGGTTATGACCTGACTCTGAAACCTCCACACTCGCTTCATCCTCATCGCCCCTCGCACCTGCACCTGTCAATACAGAAAGCAGGGTGGTAAAAGCTGTTTCCAGCCATACTCCAGGTGATGGCTGATGTGGAACTTGGAGTCATTTTCCCTTGAAAGAACCTTTGAGGGCCAGATAGAATCTGGTCCAGCTGAGTCTCTTCAGGTGCTTAATTTTTACATGAGGGCTCTGGAGTTCAATAATTCATGCTAATGCGACCAGCAGCAAGCAAATCACATTCAAACTCTGCTCAGATTTTGATTATAAAACAACACCCCAAATGAATTTTATGATGGATAACATACTAGGTGATTTCAGGAGGATGAAACAAAAGTCAGGGCTTTGAGGTCAAATGAACGGAAGTCAGTCTCAGGGCCACTGGTCATTGGCTGTGTGACTTTGCCTGAACGTTGAACATCTCAGAACTTCTGTTTCATCATTGATNTACTAGGTGATTTCAGGAGGATGAAACAAAAGTCAGGGCTTTGAGGTCAAATGAACGGAAGTCAGTCTCAGGGCCACTGGTCATTGGCTGTGTGACTTTGCCTGAACGTTGAACATCTCAGAACTTCTGTTTTGTCATTGATAAAATTAAGATAAAACTATTTCACAGGTTTTGAGATCATGTGAATGAGATACTACACGGAAAGTGCAATTATTGTTGTTGCTTAGTCGCTAAGTCGTGTCTGACTCTATTGCAACCCCATGGATGGTAAGTAACCTACCAGGCTCCTCTGTCCATGGGACTTTCCAGGCAAGAATGCTAGAGTGGGTTGCCATTTCCTTCTCCAGGGGATCTTCCTGACCCAGGGATCAAACCCACATCTCCTATGTCTCCTAGACTGCAGGTGGACTCTTTACCACTGATCCACCTGGGAAGCGCACAGTAGGGCAATAAGACAAATTTCTATGGCTTGCCAGAACCACAATAAATGTTCATTTCCTTCCCCTCTTCAGATTCTCTCTCTTTCTTCTTCCCCATCCCCAGCCCCACCTCCACCACCTTTACAACACAGAAGCCAATGTTTCCTATAAGTATCAATGTAGAACTGAGAATAAAAGGGGAGAATGAAGAGAAAAGGTGATGAAAAATATTTTCATGTTAAAAGTAGAATTTACAATCTGCTTCCACAATCCTTTATCCCTACTGAGGGGAGATGGAGATAAGATGAAGATGGTCAGACAATTAGTACTATCTCAGGGTTTCAAAGTTTATGTCTCTTCAAAGAGATTTAAGCAGTTTTCGCAGTTTTAGTTTAATATACTTGCTCAGTGGTCATTAAAATATATAAGCCACTTGTATGGGAATGTCTTCCAGAAAAGAAAGGAAAAAAGCAACTTGGCCATTTACAACACCTACGTTGAATCTCCATTGCTCCTATTTTAGTTAGAATAAAATGTAACTCAGACCAGAGGCATCAAACTTGGATGGGTGGGAAAGTGTCATAAAAATGCAGCTAAACAGTTCATGAACTTAGGCAAATTTTTAACCTCTTTGATCCCCAGTTTTCTAATCACAGGTGGTAAGAATTAAATAAAAGATATTGTGGGGTGCTTAGCACAGTATCTGGTACATAGGAAGAAACACTCAATAAATATTAGTTATTGATATCATCCTTATTATGCAAAGTCAAAGGGCTTAAATTCTTTTTTTCCTAATTTTTCATTCCTCCTTCCTGTGCTTTCCTTTCCTTTTACGAATCAAAAATGACAGTGTATTAGGCAAGATGGAAGTTCATTTAGCTTTCGGATAAAAATTGGGAAGTAAAGTAATCCAGGACTTGCCTAGCAGCTCCACCATGCAGACTACTTTAACTGAGAGAAAGCATAGAGACTGACAACCGTTACTCCCTGATACAGCTCACCCTGGGAGTCTAACAGATTTAGATCATCCCCCAGAAATCCTCTGCTGTCATTCTGCTTCCTCCTGCTTACTTCTCATGTAAGGGAACAGCTTCTCCAAAGGGTAGTTTCATGGTTTGTTAAGCCTACTTAGCTTGGCTTAATTTCTTCCTAAATTCCTCCCATACCTTTCACTTCTCACCCCCCCAGCTTCATTCATTTTCTTTTTACCATCCAATTTTAATAGACAACACAATTACTCCCTTGTAGAAAAGCTAGAAAACTCATCAAAGCACTTAGGGAAATTTTATTTGAAATATTCAAAAATCTCACCATTTAGAAATAACCACTTTTCAACTGTTAGTGTACAGCCATCTAACATTTTCCCCAGGTAAATATATATATATATATATATATATATATATATATAAAGAAAGCCTAGCGTACATAACTGTTTTTAATCTCTTCTGTTATACTTAACAATATGAGTAACTCTCAATGTTGTTAATTATAGATCAACATCATCAACTTTAATGATTGCATATATCCATTGTATGGGTGTATCATAATTCATTCAACTGATTCTGTTTATACACAACACTGGGTTAAACCTCCAGTACATACATCTTGGCTCACTTGTCCACCAGATGAGCTGTGCTCCTGTGGTTGTCTAACTCCCCAGGGACCAGCAGAAAAGCACTGGTCTGCCATCCCATTAGCAATATGGTGCTGTTCAGGTCTTATCTCGATCCCTAAGCTGTTTGCAGTTCATTTTTAAATGAACATTGAAGACTCAGAAGGTCCTTGAAGAACTGAATTAATGTCTCCTTACCTCCCCCTCATAAATAGCAAGACTGTCCCCAGCCGAGGAGCTACTCCACCCAATGACTGAGGAAAACACAATACAATTGCAGGTGACACTGAAGGGCTTTCTATAAAACCCAAGTTACTAGAACTTTCCATTTGTCAAACTGACTTCAAGCAAGACCAGAGTGAGACCATTTCTCTGTGGAGAAACCCGTTTCAGTTAGGAAAAAAAATGCATTTGACTGAAATAATTATTTAGACTGACAACTGATTTGACAAATGACAGTTCTTTAGCTGATTTTTTTAAAGTGATGATTGATTTCTGACTGTTAATTTGTCTTAGTTGTGCTTGCTAAAGATCCAAACACACATGGGGTTTTCAGTTTCTAGACAAGGCTGAAGACAAATTATGGTGTATCACTCTCACATAGCACTTTCTATTTTCAGGGAGTTTTCACCTCAGTTTTCTTTCCATTAACATGGAGGAGTAGGTAGAACTGATATCAATAGCCCTACATTACAGATGATCATTCTAAGAGGTGTCATCTATTGAGCACACTCTATGCAAAATATGAAACAATACACAAATGCATCATTAATATTCTTTAGTCCTCACAGCAACTCTAATAAGGTAGATATTGTTATCACTTCATCTTATAAGTGAAAGATGAAATAACTTGACTGTAGTCACACAGTAGCAAAGAGGTGAAGCCAGAATTCACAATCAGTATTCCTAGCAAGAGTCACAGTCTTACTCAAGTTCCCATAGTTGCAGTCAAGTCCAAAGTCCTGCTCCCTGCATAGTGATTAAGACCAGGGTCTCTAAAATCAGGTTGTCTGACTTCAAGCCCCCTATCGCCATTTCCCAGCTGTGCCACCTTAAGTGAGTTACTACACCCTCTGTGCCTCAGTCTCTCCACCACAGAAACGGGGGTAATACTGTCTGTCTCAAAGGTCAAACAAGGAAATCCACCTCTGGCACTTAGTGCGTGGAAGGTGCTCTGTCATTAGTACCTAATGTGACCCCTTGGTCCCTCTGGCCTCTAAGCCATACATATTTTCTTAATCTGTGTCACTGCAGGTTCCTCGAGCCAAGGCCTTATGCAACTACCGAGGGCAGAACCCCGGTGACCTGAGGTTTAATAAGGGAGATGTCATCCTCCTCCGAAGACAGCTGGATGAGAACCTGTACCAGGGGGAGATTAACGGAGTCAGTGGAGTCTTCCCAGCCAGCTCCGTGCAGGTCATCAAGCAGCTGCCCCAGCCACCCCCACTCTGCCGGGCCCTCTACAACTTTGACCTTCGCGACAAGGACAGGAGTGAGAACCAGGACTGCCTGACCTTCCTCAAGGTGAGATTCCGGGCGGCCACCAAAGTCGCCAGTGACCACATAAAGGCTGTGGCAGAACTTAAGGTGTTTGTTTAATATTTGTTGATTTTTTAAAATTACAGGCTTCCCTGCTAGCTCAGTGGTAAAGAATCCACCTGCCAATGCAGGAGACGCAGGTTTGATCCCTGGCTTAGGAAGATCTCCTGAAGGAGGAAATAGCAACCCACTCCAGTATTCTTGCCTGGAGAATTCCATGGACAGAGGAACCTGGTGGACTACAGTCCATGGGGTCTCAAAGAGTCACACACGACTTAGTGACCAAACACCAGTGAACAACGTGTGCCAATATATGTTATGTGTATGTATAGTTCAAACTATATGGAGGTGAAGTCACCAGAGAAATCTAACAGGAGTTTGATGGCCGTCCTCAAACATTTGTATTGCAATTATGAAACTAAGTATCCAAACACTCATTCATTCATTCATTCATTCATTCTGCAGTCACTTTTGACCACCTGTTCTTTTCAGACACTGGGGAGATAGCACGAATAAGTCACAGCATCTGCGCTTGGGCAGAGTAGTGGGAGAAACAGATAGACAGAAAATTGTAAACATAGTTTAATAGCATGCTGTGTAGAACTACAGATCTTACCTCTTCATTGAGTGTCTGTAAGGATATTCTTGCTGACCAAGTTCACTACTGCTTGTTTACAACACTATTTTGTCTGTAGACATTGCATTCAAAACACTCTAAACAGCAACTACTGAAGCCTGCCTGCCTAGAGCCTGTGCTCCTCAACATCAGAAGCCACCGCAATGAGAAGCCTGCACACCACAGCAAAGAACGACCCTCACTCTCTGCAACTAGAGAAACTCCGTGTGTAGCAACAAAGACCCATCGCAACCATAGATAAATCAGTAAATTTTTAAAAACCACTCCAAACACACAGAATAGCATAATTATATCTTTACACATAAATAACCTCTTACAAGATACATTTTCCAAGGACACCAGTTACCTACGATTTTTTTTAACCTCTCTTTTTTATTGGCTGATTCTTCACCATCTGTAAGTAACAAGTCTGCTAAAGTCTAGATGATAGCCATCCCTGTATATTTGGGGTGAGGGGTGGATCCAGGACACATGGAATCCTGAGGATGCAGAGTCCATGGATTCAGAGGGTCAACTGTAATCTAAGTCTCGAATTTGAGCAACCTCCAGGAGGTAGTGGAGGACAGGGAAGCCTGGTAAGCTGCAGTCCATGGAGATGCAAAGAGTTAGCAACATACAGACAACACGAGCAACAACAAAATTCAGTATTTATTATTCCCTAAACATTCAAATTTTCTCATAGAAACCAAAGTTGGGGTAATTTTTATTCTTTGCAACTTAAGCCAAATACAAGTGCAAGTAGCACTGCTACAGTAAGTTCAGGAAAGTCTTTTGTTTTGTAAAACATTTTTCTTCCATCACTCCTGAAATGAGATTTGCTTCAGATTCCCTCAGACCAGATAACTTCACTGTCCTCCATATTATGAAATACTGATCTTTGTTATTGTCTTCACACCTCAGAGTGAGTCCCCTCAAGAATACCATTCTGTAGCCGACCTGCATATTTTATACTTTGGCTACAGCCAGAGGACAGCTGCTCAATTCCACACGCATTTATTGAGTATTTACTTTGTGCCTGGCATTAGGCACTGAGCTCTGGGGATACAGCCAGAGGAAGACATAGGCAGGGAGCATATCTGCTTTTGTGTCCCCTCTCTGGGAATTTGCAAACCGGGACACTTACCCAAGAACTTGTTCATTTGTTGAATTCACCCATGTACCAAGCTGTCTATGCAGATACAGTGGAGAGTCATTGTCCATATCTTCATGGAGCCAGCAGTCTAGTGGAAGGAGCGGACACATAAATGGGAAATTATGACAAAGGACTCAGAAGAGAGGATTTGCTCCCTCCTAGAAGATTATCAGGGTTTCCCCAATGGTTCATCATTAAAGATCTGTCTGCCGATTCAGGAGACACTGGTTCGATCCTTGGGTTGGGAAGATCCCTTGGAGGAGGAAATGGTAGCCCACTCCAGTATTCTTGCCCAGAAAATCCAACGAACAGAGAGCCTGTCGGCTACAGTTCATAGAGTCACAAAGAGTCTGACATGACTGAGCACAGCACAGTGGCAGAAGGCTATCATAGACTGAGACTTCACTAGGAAATCTCATGGTCTTCCTAAATTCAGCATGTCTAAAAAAAACTCAAGGTCTTTTCTCCCAAAGCTACTCTTTTCCTGGTATTTTCTGTCTCGGTAAATTTTCTAATTTATTCACACATGCATTCATTCATTCACCTATGCATGCATTCAAGAAATACTGATTGTTTTAAAAATTGTGAATCACTGTGTTATACACCTAAAACTTATATTGCACATCAACTATACCTCAATAAAAAAATAATAAAAACTGACTGGTTGACTGCTAAAAGGAAGCCACTGTATAAGGTCCTGGAGACAAAAATGATCAAAATAGATCCAGGCCCTACAGACATAGAGTTTATGGTCTGATGGGATAGACAGACATTATAGCAACCATAATGTAAACATGTGTAATTGTAGATTATAATAAGGACAAAGAAATCTAAGAAATGGTATAGTGCCATAATGAATTTAGATTTGGATTCATCTACATTACTAAGGGACATAGATCAGAGAGATCAGTGGATGAATATTCAGATTTAGATGGATGAATATTCAGTGTGGACATGGAAAGATGTTCCTGACCTGATGCTAAGGGAAAAAAACAGTGTATCCTATATGACTTCATTTGAATGAATACAAAAGAAGTCAAATGAATATATATGCTAGAGTCAGAGTGGAGGTAACCTCTTGCTAGGTGTCAGGGAAAAGCACAAGAGCCATCTAGGTACTGGAAATATTCATATCTCTTGCTCCAGATGGGGGCTTTGTAGATATATTCAATTATAAAACTTCATCAAGCTTTACATCTAAAATATTTATGCTTTATTGTATGCCTGTATACATGTTTTAGAAAAAGTTTTTAAAATTTTAGTTTCTAATTTTTATATTAAATATAAAATATATTATAATTTTATATATTTATTTATATATATTTTATCTTCATATAAAAGAACCTGGAAGAAAAACATGTTAACCAAGAGGTTAACACTGATTGTATCTATATTGTGATAGAATTCTTTGTTTTGCCTATTTACGTTTCCAAACATTTCTACAAATCTCCATATAACCTTTGATAATAAAAACTTGAATAAAAAGCCATCTTATGTTTGATACATTAAAAATTGAACTTGTTCTGAAAAGTGTTCAAAATCAGAGTACAATACATTCTTCCTTTTGCTAAGCCAAAAGTCTGTCTCCCTACGTCTTCCATGTTGATTTCTCATCAGATTAATTTAAATGAAAAGCCCTGATTCTGCTGGTGATGGAACATTAGAGACATTTCCAAGTTTTCTTAATGGATTTCCTTGATGCTCCAGATTATTTCTACTCCTCTTTTGGCCTTAGTGACCCAATACTGCCCTTTATTTTAGCAGAGATTTTGTAAATAGACTGTGAAAAAGTTACCTTACTTGCACCTTACACCGTCTGAGACTCCAAGCTGATCTCCATGGAAAGCTTTCCCTCCCAGAAAACTGAGAGTAAAAGCTAACCAGGAGACTTTCTGTCTTTCAGGATGATATCATCACTGTGATCAGCCGAGTGGATGAGAACTGGGCAGAAGGCAAGCTGGGAGATAAAGTCGGTATCTTCCCAATCTTGTTTGTAGAGGTACGTGACTATCAAATCTACATCTGATGTGAGGTTAGAATTATACATAGGCTACAGTGATGCCTGAGAGCAATTTCTATTTGATATGAGGCTTATTTCAGAACTAACTAGTCTTGAAAGAAAAGATGCTAGTCCATAATACCCACTTCTGAACTTCTCTGGTGGTCCACTGGTTAAGACTCCGTGATTCCAATGCAGGGGGCACAGGTTTGATCCCTGGTCCAGAAACTAGTGTCCCACGTGCCATGCTGTGAGGTCGAAAAAGTTTTTTTTATTACAAAATACCCATTTCTTGCAAGAGTGTGGGAAAATAGGCCTTTTCATTCTGCTGATGGGAGTACAAATAGCCATTATCTCTCATCTCCAGACTTAAACTCTATCAAGGATGTTGAAAATGTACATCTCCTGTGAGTCATGAATTCCACACCTGAGAGTTGATTATAAGGAAATAATAAAACAAATGTGCAAAGAAGTATGTACAAAATGCACAAAAATGTTTACCATAGCATTGTGCCTAGTGATGAAAAGTCAGAAATAATCTAACTACACAGCAATAAGGATTTAGGGTTTTTTTTAATTATGGTGATGGAAAAATACAAGCCCATTAAAAATAAAATGTTAAAAGATAATACTCAATATCATGGAGTATCTGGTATTATAGAAAGATGTTTGTGATTTATTGTTCAGTTCAGTTAGTAGTTCAGTCATGTCCAACTCTTTGCAGCCCGATGGACTGCAACACACCAGGCTTCCCTGTCCATCACCAACTCCCAGAGCTTGCTCAAACTCATATCCATTGACTCGGTGATGCCATCCAACCATCTCATCTTCTGTCATCCCCTTCTCCTCCTGCCTTCAATCTTTCCCAGTATCAGGGACTTTTCCAAGGAGTCAGTTCTTTGCAGCAGGTGGACAAAGTATTGGAGCTTCAGCTTCAGCATCAGCCCATCCAATGAATATTCAGAACTGATTTCCTTCAGGATGAATTGATTGGATCTCCTTGTAGTCCAAGGGACTCTCAAGAGTCTTTTTCAACACCACAGTTTAAAAGCATCAATTCTTCGGTGCTCAGATTTCTTTACATCCAATTCTCACATTTATACATGACTACTGGAGAAAACCATAGCTTTGATTAGATGGACCTTTGTTGGTAAGGTAATGTCTCCGCTTTTTAATATGCTGTCTATGTTGGTCATAGCTTTTCTTCCAAGGAGCAAGCATGTTTTAATTTCATGGCTGCAGTCACCATCTGCGGTGATTTTGGAGCCCAAGAAAATAAAGTCTGTCACTGTTTCCCTTGTTTCTCCATCTATTTGCCATGAAGTGATGGGACCAGATGCCATGATCTTAGTTTTTTGAATGTTGAGTTTTAAGCCAACTTTTCAGTCTCCTCTTTCACTTTCATCAAGAGGCTCTTTAGTTCCTCTTTGCTTTCTGCCATAAGGGTGATGTCATCTGCATATCTGAGGTTATTGATATTTCCCCCAGAAATCTTGATTCCAGCTTGTGCTTCATCCANTTTGCATGAAATGTTCCCTTGGTATCTCTAATTTCCTTGAAGAGATCTCTAGTCTTTCCCATTCTATTGTTTTCCTCTATTTCTTTGCACTGATCACTTAGGATTGTTAGCTAAAATAAATTTTAATGCTTGTAGAGTTCAAGATTTAGAAAATGAAGTTCTAGAGTTTTGTTTCTCAAAAATGTGACTGTGACTATAATTAACGTTAACAAATTGTATACTTAAAGATGATGATTATGGTCAATTTGCTATGTATTTTTTCACCACAATTTTTAAAAAACAAAGTAACTCATGAAACTAGCTTTATAAATGTGTGTGTGTGTGTGTGTGTGTGTGTGTGTGTGTGCATAAATGGATAAAGGACTGGAAGAATATGTACCAAGATATTGACAGTGGTGATCACCAGATGGTGCGATTCTAAATGATTTCCATTTTCTTCTCCCACCCTGTATTTTGTAAATCTTCAGAAATTAGCACAGATTACTTCTAATTTTTTTAATCTACTTTAAAAGAAAGAAAGAACACCTGTTAGGTTATCTCCCTGTTTCTCCAGATAATATATCATCTATAGCCTCTAACCTCTCTAGCCGTCAGCCTCGCCCCAGCTTGAAGCAGGTCATCACAAATTTGAAAGAGAGGTTTCATGGTTAACTACATTTGTTGAGCGCTTACCAAGCACAAAGCTTTATAAGTGAGCAATGCCGAACTATAAAAGAAGTAAAAGGTGTGCTCTTGGCCCTCTAGGAGGGTGGGGTGAAATGAAACAGAGGCAGAGTTGCAGAGAAGGGACCAGTATTTCCATTTGAAGAGCCAGAGCAGGTTGTGAAGTGAGTGGAGTGCCCAGAACACTGCCCAGGTGTTGAGGTTCCCTCTGTCCCACCCCCGGCGGCCCCGTCTGTATGGAAGGAAGGAAAGATGGAAGGGAGGGAAAGATGGAAGGGTCCAGAGAGGCTGGGCCTCCTACTCTCACCACCGAACGATAGTGCCTTTTCTCTTGTTGAAGCCCCATCCAGGTATACCCACTGAGTTCTCTACTTGTTCAATTTCACTCATTTTATGAGGCTCAACTAGAAACCTATTTTTCCATAAAATTCCAGTAACTAGTTGGAACATTCAGCTGTCTCTTTCTTCTCTGAACACCTGATGAATATGTGCATTGTACTTCACAGGCTAGCCCAACACAGAGCAGATACTGTGTTTAAAAATAAGTTTTAAAAAAATTAGCTTCACAAGCAAATGAATGAAAAAATATTTGGGAAGTGTTCCAACTGACTGGGAAAAAACCTCAGAGAACCATCCTTTCAACATGACCTCATCCCTCATCCTAAATATATATTCAATCGTGCAACTAATTTTTCATTGAATGCCTGCTATGTCAGGTCTTGTGCTAAGTTCTAGTGACACAAGTCAGATATGGGTCCCTAATTTCAAGGACTGTAAGAGAGACATTAATAAGTAATTATAAGTGCGATGAATGATGCAAAAAGTGAAGGGGAGGGAATTACTTGGGGGGAAGAGGGTATGATGTGCAACTTAGTTGAGTAGGGTGTTAGCAGATGCCTTGTAAACCAAGATCTGACAAGTGATTAGGAGTTGTTTAGGTAAGAATGGAGGGAAGAGAGTTTGGGGGACTGGAGGTAATATGTGCAAATGTCCTGCAGGATAAGGAAGGGTGGTAGCCTCCAAAGAACCAAAAAATACTAGAGCTGGAGCTTAGAGAGTAAGAGAGAGACAGGAAAACAAAGCCAGGGGAACAAATGGGAACCAGACCAGAGGGGACCTTGTAAACCTTCCTGCATTAGTCCAGATGAGCCAGGTTATGCCATGGTGATAAACAGCCCCCATATCTCAGTGGCATCACAAGAAAAGTTATATCCAATCCATATTACTTGCTCACCACACAGTGGTGAGAGGCCGTGCTCACATAGTCACTGAGGAACCCTGCAGGATGAGGCTGGGCCATCTTAAAGCTATGCCATCTGGAACACATGGACTTCCTAGGTTTCATGGCAGGGGAAGAGTAAAGAAGAGGGAGTTGTACACCAGCAAAGGCCTCAGCTCTGTGACATTTGTCACTCCTACTCATAGTTCATTGGCCTGAACGAGTCACATAATCCCTTCTGTCCTAAAGCCAGCTGGCAAGTATAGAGGATCACATGGAATATTTGCTGAGCATTCCTGCCATAGCATAAGAAGTTTAAACTTGACCCAGAAATCAGTGGACACAACTGAAATATTTAAAATGAGGCAGTGGCTCCTTCAGATTTGGGCTTCTATTTTTGATTATTATTTTTACGTTTTGGCTGTGCTGGGCCTTCGGTGCTGCACATGGGCTTTCTCTGGCTGCAGAGAGAGGGGCTCCTCACTGTGGTGGCTTCTCTTGTTTGGGAAGCACAGGATCTAGCCCCACAGGCTTCACTTGTTGCTTCACATGGACTGGGTAGTTGTGGCTCATGGGCTCTAGAGCACAGGCTCAGTAGCTGTGGCACACGGGCTTCGTTGCTCCATGGCATGTGGAAACCCATGTGCCCTACATTGGCAGGTGAATTCTTTACCCACCTGGGAAATCCAGATTTGGGTTTCTTAAAGATTGCTCTGAATGCAGTGGGGAAAATGATTTGAGGAGGAGGGATTTAAAAAAAAAAAAAAGCAGAAAGATCAACTGAGCTACTCCATCACTCAGAAAATGACTGTGGCTTTGACTAGTAGATTGGAAACAAGTGGACAGATTCCAGGACCTTTGAGTAGGTAGATCCACAGGAGTGGGGGACAGGGGCCAGGAAGTGGTCAAGGATAACACCCCACTTTTGGCTTTGTGTGCCTAGGTCAGTGGTAGGGCTATCTGCTGGATGAAGCAACACTTGGTGAAGAGGAACAATTGTGATGTTTGGGAGATGGTGGTTATGTCTCCAAGGACAGAGATCAGCTACAAGTAAACCCTGTGCTGAGTTTAGTTTCTCAGTTGGGTCCGACTCTTTGCAACCCCATGGACTGTATCCTACCAAGCTCCTCTGTTCATGGAATTCTCTAGGCAAGAATACTGGAGTGGGTGGCCTTTCCCTTCTCCAGGGGATCTTCTCAACCCAGGGATCAAACCCAGGTCTCCCGCATTGCAGGCTGATTCTTTACCATCTGAGCTACCAGGGAAGCGCAAGAATACTGGAGTGGGTAGCCTATCCCTTCTTCAGGGGAACTTCCCCACCCAGGAATTGAACTAGGGTCTCCTGCATTGCAGGTGGATTCCTTACCAGTTGAGCTACCAGGGAAGCCCCTCAACTAATCCCTAGCTGGATGCATAGTAGGTGCTTAAATTTTTGTAGATTAGAGCTTACATAGTCCCTTGTATTATTTCAAGAAGCTTCTTCATCAGTATGGGAAAACAAGGCATCACTGATTTTATTACCCATTTCTGATACCCTTCTTTCCCAAAACTTCTACACTTTGGGTCCGACTCTTTGCAACCCCATGGACTGTATCCTACCAAGCTCCTCTGTTCATGGAATTCTCTAGGCAAGAATACTGGAGTGGGTGGCCTTTCCCTTCTCCAGGGGATCTTCTCAACCCAGGGATCAAACCCAGGTCTCCCGCATTGCAGGCTGATTCTTTACCATCTGAGCTACCAGGGAAGCGCAAGAATACTGGAGTGGGTAGCCTATCCCTTCTTCAGGGGAACTTCCCCACCCAGGAATTGAACTGGGGTCTCCTGCATTGCAGGTGGATTCCTTACCAGTTGAGCTACCAGGGAAGCCCCTCAACTAATCCCTAGCTGGATGCATAGTAGGTGCTTAAATTTTTGTAGATTAGAGCTTACATAGTCCCTTGTATTATTTCAAGAAGCTTCTTCATCAGTATGGGAAAACAAGGCATCACTGATTTTATTACCCATTTCTGATACCCTTCTTTCCCAAAACTTCTACACTTCATGATTATTCATTTGGATACTCTCCCCACCACTCCACCTCTAAAATTAGTGATTACAAGAACCCTCACGATCATCATCAAACTAGCCATCGCTTCATTTGTTCTTCTAATTGCTAGGAGGGGGAAAGATAATCAAGTGGTTGCTCTAATCTGGGAACCTGGTTTTCAAAAATTACTTGAAATCCAAATTGAGCTTTTTAAAGCAGCACTTAAATGTTGACTCCAGTCATTTCATTAAGACCAGCACTTGCTGAGAACTCTTTAAATAAGTTTTGAACCACCAAGGCCATGCAGAACAACTGGAAGGAAGGAGAGCTTCCTTCTGGGAGCAACAAAGTGGGGCGTTTTTGGCATCAACAGAATTTTTCTTGTTAATGTATCATTTGACTTATTGAATTGCACCTGGATAAAAGGTGATAAAACAAATGCCAAGCTTATGCCAGTTCTTGTCAGGACTCCTCCTGTGGGGCCTGCCTGGGTCATGTGAACCTCGCTCAGCCCAGTGAACCTCAAGGATATTGTTTTGAATGAGTGAGTGCAAATTGAAGAGCTCTGCAGTCCTTCCCCGACTGAGCTATTAATCACACTGGCAGAGGACAGGGAAGACCTACAGTCACATGGGGCTCTTTGTCTGTGTTGCTGATGGAAAACACTCACAGTGTTGCTCACCTAGGGACAGAAAAATTAGGTAGAACCAGAAAAAATATATATTTATTTCATTGTGGCTGTGAATGACCAGAAAGAATTTTACTCATTCAGCTCAGAGGGTGTATTATCCTCTTCCCGGGGGAACAGTAGTGGGAGGTGTGCTCTGCGGGGACGTGAGGCATGGTCCAGGCTTCCACTAGAACTGCCCTAAGTAACTTCAGTAATTTCCCAATTGATCACCCTCCTTCCTGCCTGACACTTCTGAATAGCAGCCAGAATGAGCTTTTGATGTATGTATTTTTATTTACATACAGTAAAATTTGATCTTTTAAGGGACAACTTAACCATCGTCTCCCAAGCATCATGATTGCTCCCCATCAGCAAATGTTACTCGATCCAGCAAATGGCTCTACTGCTGACCTAGGCACACAAATCAGTCCTCTTCCCCACCCCATGCTTCTGTCAAACTCCCAGTCCTGTGGATCTACCTCCTGAAAGGTCCTGGAATCTGTTCACTTGTCTCCAATCTACTAGTCAAAGGCACAGTCATTTTCTAACTAAGCAATGGAGTAGCCTCTTAATAGGTCTTTCTGCTTTTCTGATAAATGCATACAGTATAACCACATCACCATCAAGATGTAAAATAGTTCCTATACCTCCCCCAAAATACAAAGGCAGACTGCCCCTTTGAAGTCAGCTCCTTCCCTGACTCCTGCTCCCGGACACCCCACTGATCTGTGTTCTGACCCTGCAGTTTTCCTTTTCCCGAAGGTCATAGAAATGGAATGGAATAGAATGCAGCCTTCAGAGTCTGGCTCCCTTCACTTAGCATAGCACCCCTGAGGTTCAACCGTGTTGTTGGGTGTATATGAAGCTCATCCATTTTTATTGTCAAGTCATATTCCACGGTAGGGATGTGCCAGAGTCGGTTACTCACTCACCAGTTGAAAGACATTGCGGTTGTTTCCAGTTATTTGGCAGCTAACACTAAAGCAGCTATAAACACTTGTATGCCAGTTTTTGAGTGAGCCTAAGCTTTTATTTCTCTTGGGTAATTACCTAGGAGTGGGACTGCTGGGTCAGATGCTAAGTAAGAAACTGCCAAACCATAGCATGAGCTTTTAAATAAAGGCATAAATCAGATCATGTCACCCTTCTACCCCAATCCTGCCAAACGCTTCCTGTTACACTTAGAATAAACTTGAAGCCTCCCAGCCTGGTGTGATCCAACTCCTGCCCGTCTCCGTGGTCTCCTCTTTGCCACCTGCTCCTCACTCGCTCTAGACCATTCTCCTTTCTGATTCTTTCACGTCTTTTTCTCAAACAGTCTGAGCTTGCCCCCTCTTGGGGATTCTTCCACTAGCTTACCCTGCTACCTGGCATATTTTTATCCCCATCTTCACATGGCTGGTTCCTTCTTGGCATCTATGTCTTAGCTTGAATGTCACCTTCTCAGCAGGTCTTCCTTGACACCTCACCAAACCCCCCAAATCTGAAGTAGCCTCCACCCCCTGTCACTCTCTGACACATAAGAGCATTTATTACTGCCTAAGCTTTATTTATTTATTCATTTGGTTGTGCTGAGTCTTAATGGTGACAAGTGGATCTTTAATTTTGGCAGGCTAACTCTTAGTTGCTGCTTATAGGATCTATGAATAGATCCTATAATATTACCAGGAATGAAACCCATGCTCTCTGCCTTGGCAGCAGGAAGTTTTAGCCACTGGACCACCAGGGAAGTCCCTGCCTGATATTTTCTTGTTTAGTTGTTTATGTGCTGGCTCTACCATGTATAAATCACCCCTTTTGGGCCTCAACTCTCTTATCTTTAAAGTAATAATGCCCCTTTCCCACTTGATGGTTTTTTTCCCCAATATTATAAGCTTCTGGAGGCAGAAACTACCTCTCCTTTAAAATTTTCTATCTCAACTCTATTAATCATCTTAATCATCTGAACATTTTCATTAGAAAGTTCTTAATGAAAAAACAGTTCTTAAATGAGCAAATTCCTTTTTCCCTGTATCAGTGANTTTTTCCCCAATATTATAAGCTTCTGGAGGCAGAAACTACCTCTCCTTTAAAATTTTCTATCTCAACTCTATTAATCATCTTAATCATCTGAACATTTTCATTAGAAAGTTCTTAATGAAAAAACAGTTCTTAAATGAGCAAATTCCTTTTTCCCTCTATCAGTGAATTTCAGAATTAGAATGAGATGTGCAATTTTAGAGAGCAACTGGTGACAAGCATTATGATGAAGATACGTTTTAATTGTCCTCGAAAGTTTATTCACACCATCCCTTTTGTCAGCATATTTCCGATTTCTGAAGGACATGAACTCATGGGGTGCTTGACAGGCAGAGTATTCAAAAAATACAGTACAGTCAGTGGTGGTGCTAGTGCTAGAACTGGCTGGAAGTCGATGGCAAGGGCTGGTGGTAGGTTTACAGGAATCTTGCTAGACAGTGGTTAAATTGCTGGTAGATATTTACACCACAAATCATGGTAAGGGGATTGTCTGGTTTTCTGATGTACCAGCACTAAGAGGTATAGAACAAGAGAGAATGGAGATGAGATCAAAGTATTTAAAAGAAGTAGTAGAAGATAGTCTTAGCCTTAGATGATCCAGGGTCCTGAATGGATTTACATTCTGGTCAAACTTATCAAATGTGTGAACTTGAGCAACTTCATCCACCCATTCTTCCACAAACCCATAGGAACATCACCCTGGGATACAGCAGAGAACACCCTGCCCTCAGGTAGCTGACAGTCCAGTGGAGGAAAGGAAGGTAAATGATTACAGTGTACAGTGGGAAAGCTGAAGGACAAGCAGCTGAATCAAGGTTGGGGGAGGGGGGTCTCAGGGGGAGCTAGAAGAAAAGGGAAGGGTCTTCCAGGTAAAGGAAGCTGCGATGATGCTGAGAGAGATGGGCAAATCAGAGCAGAGTATCATGGCTTGTTTTAAATTCTTCAGCCCTCAGTAGAGTTGTACCTACGTTGCAAGTGAGTTGTGAGAATTGATTGATACAGGAGAGGGATTGGGACTTATGGATAAAAGATGGAAACTGTCCAAGGAGTGACACCTGAGGTGGTGGCATTGGCGCTGGCTTCAGATTAGCCTGGGGAAGTTATAGCTGCTCACACAAGGTCAGGATGACTAAATTCTTATTGGATCTTTCATCTTTTCAGCCAAACCTCACCGCAAGACACCTCCTAGAGAAGAACAAAGGCCGTCCATCGTCCCACACGAAAAACCTGTCCCTGGTGTCCTCCCCCTGCAGAGGCAAGGCAACCAACACGCCCACCCTCCGAAGGGGCCCGGGATCCAGGAGGAAGGGGCCTGGCCAGTTCTCCATCACAACAGCCTTGAACACCCTCAACAGGATGGTGCATTCTCCCTCGGGGCGCCACATGGTGGAGATCAGCACCCCAGTGCTCATCAGCTCCAGCAACCCCTCTGTGAGCACCCAGCACATGGAGAAAGTGGATGCTTCCCCCAGCTCCATGGGACAGGTAGGGAACAAACCCCCAGGAGAAGGCCACCCTGGAGTTGGGCAAGTGGTCCACACCATGTCACAGGCAATATTGGATATTCAGTACCTGCTAAGCCCTTATAATGCATTAATAATAACTAATGTCAAATGTATTATATGTCAGAGCTGTCTTTACATGATCTCATTTCACCCTTGAAACAGCCTATGAGCTAGGTATTACTATTATTGTTACCCCCGTTTCACAGATGAGAAGAGAGAGGTTTAGAGGCAGAGGGTTGCTTTCCCATGCTAAAAGCCATGGCATGGTTCCTACCTCTTAGAGAACATCCCTCCTGAGCAATAATAGCATGTTTTCTGGGATCACAGTCTGACATTCACTGTTTCATCTGCTGGCAATGTGTCAGACATCACGTGGAAGGGAAGGAAAAGAAAAAAGAGAAACTATGGGTTATTGGGTGTTTGCAGGACTAGCTATATACTTTACAAGGCTCAATGAAAAGTGAAAATGCAGATCAAAAATGATTAAGAATTTCAAGATGGCAACAGCAGAGCATGAAACCAAGTGAAGGGCCCTTCGGAGCAGAGAGCCACATGTGACTCCACATGTCACACACTCATGAAGCCAGTCGTGGTGCTTTCCTATGACACGTTTAATAAGATAATATATATAAAGTGCTTAGTACCGTGCCTGGCACATACTGAGTACCCAATAAGCATTAGCTCTTAATACTATTATTATTGATACTACCACTGTTATTGTTAAGCCTGGCCCCTGAATTGCCTACTGTAGGGAGATAAGCCAAAAGGCAATCCTGACCACCCAGCAGTGCAGATGTACTTCTGACAGCATGAGGCTGTTTAGGTTGAAGGATGCTTTAAAAGATGAAGGACCGGAGGTATGAGGCAAAGTAATTAAGAACTGCATGTCGGGTATTCTGCTATAAACACTCTTTGGAACCATGCAGGTGGCAACTTGAAAGGACAGACCTCAACGTGCAATTTTTTTTAAGCTGTAAATCTTGTTTTTAAACATGATTCTCTACCTTGGGATTAAATGACTTAATTGGACTCTAATCCGTTTTTAACAAGTCAAGGAGGAGGAGAAAGTCAAGGGCTCCTCAAAGACCTGTGAGCTGGGTCTAAAAGGAAAACAATCACTTCCAACAGCACTTCAGACCTTATGCCACTGTCTGCATCTCTAGAGGGCTGGCTGTGGATGTCGTTCTGCCCGCCACTTGCATTACATACACACCGCGCACACACAATTACACTCTACCCTGCTCATACACTCTTCTTTCATTAAAAAATCAGGAATTTCCTTCCCTTCCTATACACACACTCCAAATGCTTTTTTATAAGTACACACACAGTTTGTGCCCAAAGTTCAACACTCCCTATACACACACACACACACACACACACACACACGCACTCCAACATGGGGACCTAGTGACATACTTAAGTGAAAGACCAGTAGAATCTTCTGAAATCATTCTTTCTATACAGACATAGGTATTTGAAGTACAGCCCACATCCAGTAGACCTAGGCTAGCTCACTCAGCTATAAGTTAGCTTTCCAAAGGATTTAGCCAAGAGTCACTTTCCATGTGCTTTTTAAATTCTTTTTCCTGGTCAATTTATCTCACAGACAGAGAGGCTGGACCAGAGTAGAGAATCCTCGCAGGATTCCAAACAAGCATTAACTAATAACTAACACTGCTCTCAGCTGTCTGACTCTTTGCGACTCCATGGACTGTAACCCGCCAGGCTCCTCTGTCCATGGAATTTTCCAGGCAAGAATACTGGAGTGGGTTTCCATGCCCTCCTCCAGGGGATCTTCCTCACCTGGAGACTGAACCTGCATCTCTTGCATCTCCTGCAGTGGCAGGTGGATTCCTTACCCCTAGTGCCACCTGAGAAGCGCAGGCATCGGGTGGCCAAAAAGTTCGTTCAGGTTTCTGTACCATCTTACGAAAAACCCCAACTGAACTTTTCAATCAATCCAACAGTATTTCTTCTTAATTTTCACAAATGGTGAGAATTCCAAAGTGTAGCTTTGGCATATCCTGTCCCCAAGGAACCACTGCACAGTACTGATAGCCTTTTCTAGATTCAGATGGCACTGGATTATCAGTATTTCTACGTTTGCCCAGATATTGTCAAAAACACCCTTGTAAAATGTCCCACCTAAGAGCTATATCTAAAGATGAGAAGCAAGTTGAGCCAGTGACAAGGTCTCCTATTTCCTTTGTCTCTAATATCCTTCAGAGCTGTGACTGGATCTGCCTTCTCAAGCCCCTCCTTCCTTCCACATCCCAGCACCATCTATGGTACAGAGTCCCTAGTAGGTTCTCAGTAAATCAAGGAATCAAGACATTTGATTTAAACATCTGGGCAGACAGTGGTGACATATACATAGAGAGGGAAGATGGGAGGAGGAATTGTTTTCTACAGAAAGACCACAGGTCATTGTAACTCTTCCAGCCAGTAGACATCTGTTGAGTGCTTACAGTGTACTAGTAACCATAGCAAGTCCTGGGTATTCTATACCAAAGCAATAAGAACAGCAATAATAACCTCAAACATGTATTGAAAGTAAAAGGATAGGAAGGAGGGAGGGAAGTGCCAGTCTCCTGAGTGCTGCCCGACATTCTAAAATACGGTAAGAGCCTTTGTAGGAGAGGTATTGTTACCGCTTTATAGCAAAGTAATTAAGGCCCCGAGAGAAAAATGGTTTGGCCAAAGTTCATGTAATTAGTGAACAGCAAGAGTCTGTACTGACCCTAGAATCATGTGATTCTGGCTCATAGACTCTTGTCACTCCACTGTGCCATCAGCAAAGATGTCATCTGGCAAAATCTTGAAAGTCTTTAGCCTCCCTTTCCTTGCATGTCTTCATTTGATTCCCTGTAGACTCCAAGGCCTTCTCTTCCCTGCCCACCCCTCAGTAAAGAATTTGTCCTAAGCCTTCTGTACCTCAAGAAGGTCTTCATTTAATATCACTTTGTTCCTTTATGAACTACCGACTGTGGCCAAGTTTTATGTGCAGCACTGAAGGCAGCAGGAGTAAGTGCCTGTCCCCAAGGAATTCACAGTCTAGCAGGGATATAAAACATAAATGACTCTAGTGGAGTTGGGACTTCCTGAAATGAGATGAGGCCCCTGTTGGCACCTGCACTGACTTTGCTCATGAAGATACTTGGAATTTTACAGTCAAGAACTGTCGTAGAGACAGTATTCCCTTTCCAGTTTTCCCCAAGCCTTTTGGTGATATCAGAAAGTCTCAGTTTGGTGCTGGTCTTTCTGGAACATCCTGTACCAGGGTGCTAATCTCCTTGCATCAGGAAGAGAGAGCAAGGTATCAGGCTCAGGGCTTCAGCCACCAGTTGCCCATGTCTGAACTTCATAACACTGGATGTTTTTATCATGTTGTTGGATGGTTATCCTCTGTATCATGTAAGAGATGCCAGTTTTGTATTCACAGAAGTCTGTAAAAAAAATTTTGCTTTATTAAAATTTTAAAGCTTTTTTTTTTAAAGAACAGGAAGTTAACAAGGTACAAGTGGGAAGTAGATATGGCAAAAATCTATAAAGATGGGAGGCAATATAGTTTAGAAAGCAGAAGTCCAGAGTAATTACGTGCAGAACTAAGACACGTGTGAAGTGCTACAGATGCAGAGAAGAGGGCATTCGTTAGCTTCCTCATTGTGGCCTCCATCCTCTTGAAAACCCAAATCTGATATGCTGCTTCTCCTCCCGAGACCACCAGTGGTTCTCTACAGTTTTCAGAGGCTGTAATACTGCCATGAATTAAGTGGCCACTGAAAGTCAGAGACTGTAAGATTTCCTCCCTTGCCTCCTCGGAGCAGTTCTCTCAGGGTTACTTGAGATGCTGCTTCAGCCCTAAAAATGTTCACCAAATAAGACATAACTCTCAAGAAAAAAAGAAAAGAAAAAAGAAACTATAAGAGATGAAGTACAGACGTTATGACTCTTCTCACAACTCTTCCGAGTAGGTCTTCACATGCCCATTTTACCAAACAGCCCAAACTATGGGACAGAACAATTTGGAAACTTTTTCAAAGCCTTAAAGCTGGAAAGACCCAGGATTTGAGGGCAGACCTGTGCTCTCTCTCCTAAATAGTTAAGGGCATTCTAGACCCTCCCTCATCTGACTATAATCTTCCAGCCTCGCTGCTTCTCCCCTATACGTGTGCACATGAGCATGCAGGCCTGCATGCTAAGTCACTTCAGTCGTGTCCAACTCCTTGCAACCTTATGGGCTGTAGCCTGTCAGGCTCCTCTGTCCATGGGATTCTCCAGGCAAGAATACTGGAGTGGGTTGCCATGCCCTCCTCCAGGGGATCTTCCTGACCTATGGGTCAAACTCAAGTCTCTTACATCTCCTGCATTAGCAGGCGGGTTCTTTACCACTAGTGCCACCTGGGAAGTCCACACATGAGCATACACACACGAAAGTTGCGTGATCCCTCAACATTCACGAGTACAGCAGACACTGGGCCGCCTCTTGGCTTTTTGCCCTTGTACCCAGCACAGTGCCTGCATTATTCTAAGCAATGAATAATGTTCATGAAATAAATAAATGTTACTCCTCCTAGAATTTATTTTTGGTGCAATGGCCTGTCACAAACACATCCGCACCCCAAGCCCTGTATGCACACCATTTCTTCAAGGAAACATCTGCCACTCCTCTTCTGCAGAATTCACTTTTCCCCTGTGTTCACACCGTATTGTCTACAGCTGGGTTCTCTGTGCTGGGAGTACCTCGTATGTATCTTAAAGGTTCACTAGATTGCAAACTTCTTAGGGGCAGGGTTGGAGTTTTATTCATGTATGTTGCTGTTGACGTTCCAAAACCCCAATAAGTTTTCTAATAGCATATTTTACTTCAAGAATCAAAAACAAAGATAGAGGCCTCTGATTTACTTAAATATCGCATTGGCCAAAAATTTCATTCAGGGAACTTTTGCCAACCCAGTAACTACCAATCCTCTTTCA